GACCTGGGAGACAATGCTGACGTCAAGATCGTCGGCCAGCTGCGCAATCGGGACCGTAAGCTCCTGGGTGAGAAGCCTCCGACAGCCTGGACGCACTRACCCGAATAGAAAACCGAGAAGGTCCCCCTCTACTTCCGTCCGCCATGCCTGAATCAAAAGGAGCTCCAATCGCTCAGACCGCGGATAATTTCTCTTGTCCCTCGTCCACGCCACCCGTACTTCCACCAAACACAGTGAGAGTTTGATGAAGTCTCTGCGCCAMGCGTCCCACTGAGAGGGATCGAGGAGGGGAACAACCAGAGGATTTATGSAGAAGGARAGGCRGGGATGAAGATCAGATTGCCAAAAGGTGGGGAAGGAAGAAGGAAGCTYGAAAGTAGAGATCGGGAAGGAGCTCATCGGGGATGGAAGGGGATGAGAGGGGGTAATTGCRTCGGCGGGTCACGCCGATCCAGCCGAAGSCCGTTGTATTCAATCGCTCGGATTGGTGTGATCATGTCCCYTTGGTGCGCCAGGAGWTGGGTCCACTCGTTCTGAAGATTGTGCATCCACAGAAGCAACGCCACCTTGATTCTCGTGTGTCGGCAGGGGGGGATCGCCGTGAGATCTCCACTGAAATTAACTACCACCGTTATCCGGCCGACGTCCRCAGATGCTCGCTGTCGCAACCCGACAGCTTCGGCCAATATCATCGCRTCAACCCTCCCGTSGGCGYGGATCTCKGCTGCCGCGTAGACGCCCTTCGAGCAAAAGAATTGCGCAAGCCGCTGAAGGTCCGGACTAAGACGAGGATGATGTACCTGCCGCMGTGTCAAATTCCCAYGTGCTACCARCGCTTCTTCACTTAGAGCTCTCTYCTCCATAAAGCTCATGGCGACGGCSAGGGTGAYGGCGTATCCGACAGAGATTGAGAAGGAGAAGGAGATGCAGAGGAGAYAGAGTCGTCGTCGGGAGAGGTTGATGGAGAAGGAGACGGAACAGAGGGAAGAAGACGGAGATAGGASACGTGGYGTGTGATYGGGCGAGCCGATCGRCTGCYGGAAACCTCGGGAGCGAGGCGCAYGGTGTCCACGCCGTAGGGTCYGAGTTCAATCACTCRATACAGTCCGAAGAATCGTGGCGCTAGTTTACCCTGGCGCGCACATTTCCTTACATGCACGATGTCCCCTAACTTATACTGGGTCSTRGGACCCGCATTCCCGTTCCGGGCCTCGTAACTCCGGACCTGTCGGCTATGGGTCAATTCGGTGGACCGTTGTCGCTTCCGGGCCAGTCTAGGTAGGGACCGCTCCATAAGTTCCAGGTGCSTTTTGGCTTTGTCCCGAGCGGTGGCCCTTGTGGGGCGTCGGTTGAGTCCTGATTCGTCGGGGAGGCTCGGTATCGACACACACGCGACACTATTGGTCTGCAACTGGAAGGGCMTTAGGYCYGTCGATTCGTGGGGCGTTCCGCGATGGACCGCCAAGATGTGGTCGACAATATCAGGCCAGGGTCGGGGGTCACGTGCCGCAATATTCCGCCGCAAGGCCGTTGTTATCACCCTATTTGCGTTTTCCACTAATCCGTTAGACTTGGATATGTGGGGGGCCGTGTGCAGTATGAAGACGCCGTGTATGACCAGGTTCCTCTCGACTTCTCCTCTAAATTCGACCCCATTGTCGGTCAGAATCTCTTCGGTGTCATGGTGCATGCCTAGAAAACGGTTGACGTACCGCGCAATTTCCGCGGCTTGTCGTGTCTTGCAGGGATAGGCCTCGATCCACTTAGAAAAGTGGTCGACGAAAACCAGCAGAATTGAACAGTCGCAACTATTCGGTCCGCGGGGCACCACTATATCAGTACTATCCATACTAACCCTCTGAAACGGCCGTTCAACCACCGTTGGGACTATCGACCTAGGCGGTTGGGTTGGGGCCTTGTCAGCAGCGCAGACCTGGTAGTGTTGGACGATGAATTTTACGTGGTCCCGGATATAGGACCAGTACCATTGATTCTGTCAATCGCAGCTTCGGTAATACGCACGGCAAAATGCGCCACCGTCTCCTCGTGGGCTGTCCGTACCCAGTCGTACCGCATAAACGGGTGCAAAACTACTAACCATGCCCCACTGCCGTCTCTTTTACGCTTTTCTAACCGTCCGTCCACCCATCGGTAATCCCGTGCTCTTTCATTGGCCCTCCKMCGATCCTCCTTGGAGAAGGTTTCGAGGGAGTTCCCTACCACAGTGGCTATCAAGGCGACATYTGTCCAGACTTCCGCTCTTCTAAATTTTTGAATTTTGTCGGGGCCTTCCGACGTGGCATCGAGGAATCGGGCTTCCGTCGGAATCTTGTCAGTGCGACATAAAGGACAGAACCAGGGTCTATCACTACTCCGATACTGTATGCACGCACCATGAGCAGGTGCTACACATTTCAGACAGTCTACCCATTCAACATATCCCCTCCCTTTAGGACACATGTGGACGGAATATACTCGAGAGATTGCCTTGCAGAAATAGCAAAATTTGTCGGGAAGGGAGGCGAAAGAAGAGGATGGGGAAGAAAGAGAGGGAATCTGGACATTACCTCCGTCACCCATTGCCCTTCACCGGTTTCTTGCCATGTGGAATAACCACAACTTCTCCGTACTTTGGACCGTTATTGATATCCGGGTCCTTCCACGGTGTGATTTCTTCCGCCTTTGGTACTTTACCGGGTTGGTGCAAACATGTCAGTCCGTCGGCGTTGCCTTGCCTCTCCGTTTTTCGATGAGCAATGTCAAATTCATACTCTTGCAACCGCACTGCCCATCGTCCGATCATGCCCGTGTAGTTGGTTAGCTTTTTCAGAGCCAACAGAGGTTCATGGTCGGWGAYGAGCAGAAACTTTTGACCGTACAAATACGGATGGAAGTGYTGGATACCCCACACTACCGCATAGCATTCTCCTTGTGGCGCGGAATCGTTTCGTCGCTTGTCAGGCACCATCCGGGAAGAGTACTCGATGACATGCTCCCTCCCATCGTTTCCCTTTTGTGCCAGAATGACCGAGATAGCCTCCGGCTGCCAGTCGGTGATGAGAATAAACTGTCGAGAGGGGTCCGGTCGAATCGAAATCGGGGCCGTGACGAGAGCATCCTTCTGGGCCCCGAAGGCCTGGTCGCACTCGTCATCCCCATGAAGGGGCTGTTCTTTTCGCAGCAGGTTTGTCAGAGGCCTTGCTATAGCCGCGAACCCCTTGATGAACCGCCGGTAATACGAGGCCAGGCCCAAGAAGGCTCGAACGTGCGTCAGTGAGGTCGGAACCGGGGCTTCTTTGACCGCCGCGACTTTTCGAGAGTCCGGCCGCAGGCCTCCTCGTGTCACCACATACCCCAAGAACGAGATTTCCGGAAGGAAAAACTCGCTCTTTTCCAGCGCAATCTTGAAACCTGCGTCTCTCAACGCACCCAACGTCCATTYGAYGTGYTGCGCGTGTCCGTGAAACGTGTCCGAGTACACCAGAACRTCATCCATGTACACAATGACGCAGAAGTTAATCATCCCCTTAGTCAGCCGTGTCTTATTGACGAAATTCTGAAAAGTCACGTTCATCGYCMTCTGAAACGTGGCAGGCGCATTKCAGATTCCYATCRRGCACCGAACCCACTGCCACGTGCCTTCAAACAAAACGAAGGTGGTCTTGGACCGATCTTCTTCCTTCACCAAGATATGATGAAACCCATGCCGAATGTCGAACTTGCTCAAGTAGTTAGCACAYCCGATCGCATYAAGYAGATCATCAATCCGRGGAAGGGGATACACATCTTTAATCGTRATATCATTTAGCTTTCGATAATCGATGCATATGCGGACTGACCCGTTCTTTTTAGGAACCAATACAACTGGGAACGACCAGGGACCGGTGGCAGGCTCAATCCATCCGTTTGCCTCAAATTCCCTGTTTCGCTRCAAGGCCRTCTTGCGCTCTRTCAACGAGTATCGGTACGGCTTGCAGTGGATCGGGGAATGATTCCCGGTCTGAATCTCATGCTGAACGACCACAGATMACCCAATATCGGCGTCGGACAYGCTWATCGCCCCTTGATACTCTATTAAAATATCAGCGATYAGCCRATGGATCTCATCAGGTACATACTGGGGCACATGCAATTCATACATTTGATCCAAAATCCGAACGTTAACCTGCTTCGTGTGTATACGCCGAGTACTGTCAGGCGGTGCAAATATAAAAGAGTGATCTGATCTCCAAGAAAATAGAGTGACCACCATTTGTGCTTCCTCCTCCCTGATCGCTGTATGACCTTCGGGGGTTATCCCGTCGCAGATGTCTCGCCAGGGCACGCTTTTGGGCGAGATTTTGATCCCGAGTTCATCGGATCTTTCCTCGATGCGCTGAGGGGGTTCCAAAGAACCTGCTTCGACTCCCAAACGCAACAACTGAACCTCTTTTGCGGGCTGAAGCAGGGATCAAGGTAAGCCAGTGAGATCACAAAAGGAACGTTTGTCACTATACCGAAGGAGAAGGGGAGATACGCCTTCGTACAGGGTTCGAGGGGGTTCCAAGGAATCAACCAGCCTCGAAATCTGTACGAGGGGTTCTCCCATGATCATCATACGAGCATTCCGTGCAGTTAGATGCATGGTACGCGCAATAGTGCGAGGCGGCGGGTAGTGAATCCGCTGCCGTACTAACCGTGTAACGACTGGATCGGCATCGTCGTCGCTCCCCGCATCGTTCGATGAGTGGCCTCTGTCCACAGGTGCACTCCTGGAGACCATGCGGAGCGCTCCCATTGTTTTCGGAGAAATTCGGGGTATTACCTTAACCGACGTTCGAAGAGTTAGTCTCATGGGTATTACATACGGCTTTCCCCCGGTATTCCGGAGAATGACGGATCGGCGTTCGAAGTCTACATTAGCACGCCGCGCCACCAATGCAGGAAGGCCGAAAAGAACGTCATACGTATTCACATCCAGCACCACAACATCTCCTAAAGCATGCACTTTTCCCAATCGGAACGCGACATTCGTCATTCGTCCTACTGTCTTGATCTTCTCCTCGTCAGCCGATACGAGCTGGTCCTTCTCGGTTAGCATAATCAAATCATTCTTCCTACCCGCTCTCTCGACTACTCGGAGTGATATCGCTAGACAGCCGCTCCCGAATCTATGATCGCACTATACGACACTCCCTAGACTTCAATATCACATTCGGCTGACTTCCACGGAATCGGCTTCATTCGATGAAAGTGGTCATCTTTCTGTATCAATCCGACTCGGATGGGGTTAGGGGCGACGTCTGCCTTTTCCTCCGAAGCTGACACCTTCGCCTTCTGATCTTTTGCGCGTGCAAGGGCGAATCGCTTCCGGTTCGCTTTGCAATGCTGCATCATACGTTCGTTCGACTGTTCCAAAATGGAGAGAAGGTGGCCAATTGGGAGAGGGATTCGGTGATCTAGTGCTCAGGTAACGTCGAGGACATCGATTTCCCCTGTAACAAAGGTAGGGCCTCCCGTCTCCATTTCGCTCGACGAAGGCCGCCATTCGGCGACATCTCTGGACTCGAGTTCCGGTCGAATCGTCCCAATCATTCCCCGCCCCGGGTATCCTAGTGATACATACTGCTCCAGCGGGATAAGCTGGGCTGCTTCCTCACTGGAAATCATCATTCCATTACTTCCCCCCTGATCATCCATCACGGCTCCTACACATTCTGGGCCGTGAGCTATGGGAGCTGCAGCTGCAGGCGCGACCTTGACTCGAGGATGCATGGCCCGATGGGGGCAATCTCGGGCCAAGTTTCCCGGCTGATGACATGTAAAATAGGCATTTGCCGCTGTCCCGGCTGGCCCCGCTGCAACTTGTGCAACAGCCATGCCTCCCTGCATTGGTGCTCGCACCGCAATGGGTCGCATATTCCGCATCATAGCTTCTAATCGAGCGTTGTGCTCTCGCTGTTCCTTCTCGCTTTCTTGGATTAGACTAACCAATGTTTTAGTTAGCTCCAAGATAGCAATAGACTCATTCGCTCTTGCGGGTGACTCGATGGTGGGTGGCGGTGGAGGTGGCTGAGTTATGGTTGGGGACGTCATTACCGGGATCTGCCTGTTTACAGTCGCTCCACATGGTGCGGTCCTCGATGTCCCCTGTTCTACATACGTAACGGGTCCGACTACGAATCTCATGTTTTCGAATTTGTTTTGCATTGCGGCCAGTTCCACCCTTGCTTTCACAAGTTATAACGAGTCTCCTTCTCTACCATAATCCTCATTTTCTAGGAAGCTAGCTGTGAACTTCCGCTCCACGTCCATAATTTGTTGCAGCGTGTGGTTAATGGGAGAGAAGTTTTTGCGTAGCTTCCCCCGAATCGTTCTGTTACGTAGTCCATCAATGAACAGG